AGGGAAAGGCTACTCACAAAATTTAGAGACTAAAATTTGTATGTGCATGCTTTCCTGACAAGACAATCTCACAGTGTACTTAACACCTGCTCACCTATTTCAAAGCAGGATTAAGGATAGCTTGTTTAACTGGCATGCTAACTCTTTCTGAACACCTGAAAGCACTTCAGCTAGAAAACAGTAGCAATTCCCATCCAAAACCACATAATTTTGAGTTAAGAAAAAAGTTTTGAGATCAGTTTGGAATGGATCGATTCCACTTCAGTAAGTGAACAGCTGAGGCAAATCACAAACTCCAGTGTAAAAAGTTTACAGTAAGATCACTGATACCAACAACAGTTAGACTCAACACTTGAATGCCAGATTTCATTTATATCCTCATAGTAACTAATGGAACATAGCAGAACCTGATTAAACTACCAGGTAGCCAGATTAAGAACAAAGACATGAGGAAGTATTTTCTGCTAACAACACAACGATATGAATGTCAGAAAGAATAAGTGACAAAACAAAACAAATTGTTAAAATTCATCATCTACTGCATTATAAAAATATTGATAATCCAGGAGCAACACACCCAGTTAAGGTAGTCCTGCCAGTCCATTGCTGACAAGTGTGAGGAGAAGGACCCTCCTATGCCCAGCTTATTTTCTGTTCTCTTCCCTGAAGCAACCAGGCTGTGGCTGGACAGTGGGATAGGCCGGGTGGCCCTGGGGAACACAGCTCCCAGAGCTACACGTTGGACAAACAGGCCACAGAAGTGTTTCAAGCAGGAAGGAATAAATATCCATAAGCAGGTGTGTACAAAGGCAACTGGATACTATCCCACACCTAAGCAATGCTGATTATAATGATTTTGGTGGCTATGCTCCCACACACGTAACCTCACCCATATCCTGAAAACCTCACAATTAATGAAGTGAATTTCTGCAACACAAGCAGCCCCTTTTGGTAAGTGGTAATGGCACTGTCACTTATTTTACTATCCAGCTTTCTCTGCCCAGGAAAGATGATTGCAGAAACTAATTGGAGTATATTCTTGTGTGATGCTGAGATGCCAGGTGCCAAAAGAATCATTACTTCCAAGTCCCTCCTGTGCTTGGAGTAGAGATATCCACAGTCCCTCTTCCTGCCTATTAATCTGCCAGAAATACTTAAAATACCATTTACAAGAAACAAACTGGTAGAGGCTCTAGTAGTGATGCTCAGAGATCAGAACTCCTGATAACACTGACACAACTCACAACAGAAACATTCAGGTTTCCTCCATCTTCCTGGAGTCAGAGCTTACTTGACAGCTAATCCCAAAGAATTCTCCAAGGAAAGATTCAGGAGATCTCCCACTCCTCTTTGTTTTGATTTAAAAGCAACAATGGAAGCAGAGGGAGCATTACCAACAGAAACAAGTTAAAAAAATGAGATAAGTTTCCATTTTCTTTATTCATGCTAATTAACTTCATGCAACTTGAAGAAAATAATGTGGTCTAGTGTTACTTTCATTTCCCAGGCACTCCAGAACACACAAGTCATAATGGAGAGGAATAACTGCATTAATATTATTTGATTTCTTGCATATGGTACAGACATTCAAAATTTATATAACTACATAAATTATACATAAAAAGCTACAAGACTAAGACACATAGGCTCCCTGCTTTTTAAGAGAAAAGAAAAAAAATTGTGCAGGATGCAAAAACACACAGCTTAGATACACACATTGTTTTCCACTGCATTCCTTTGAGAGTCTGACTTTTGTGTGAAATTTAGTAACGAAAAGTTTAAAAAAGCACTTTTATAATACAAACTGTTTGTGGAACAGTTATTTTAAGTTACAAAAGAATTAAATCCTTCAAAAATAATTTATAAAGCTTTATACTTACACAAGAAACACGAAATGGTCCAAAAGTTACAGCTGCTTCTCCACACAGAGGCCAGTAACGTTCACATTTTTTCTGTTAAAGCAAAGAATCTTAATTCAATTCATGTGCAATACTGAGAGATGATGATTAACAGAAAGAGAGCAGACAAAATGATAATCTCAAATGCCTTATTCTCTCTTATTCAGTGCTTTTCTTTAATGTCTGCCTACTGGCCTAATCTTTTAAGACAGTAAAAAGTCTTTTCTTCTGGACACCAAAAAATCCATATGACCAATAAATACAGGCAAAAGACACTTTGTCAAGGTGAACCTTCATGACTGCCTACATATGCACAATTACACATCATACAGAGAGAAGCAATCATTCAGGTTTTGTGAAAATTTGGAGTTTGCAATTCTGGACCACATTTCTTTTCCTTCTCAGGTCATAAGAATATGACAGAGATTTAAAAGATAAGTTGTTTTTGCAGCTGTATCAGTTGACAGGAAATTCTGAAGGACTCTAAATTTTGATAGTTGGCCTACATCCCACAAAGAGCAATTTTTTTTTTTTTTTCCCCATAGTGACATGACCAGAAACAGACCATTGGTACTGCTGGGTACTCAGACACCTCTATGTCACCAAGATAACACCTAAATAATAATGTCACTCTATAAATGGAGCAAAGAAAAGCAGTCACATTCACTATTTTCTATGCACAGAAATATAAGGGTAGGCATCCTCATTCCATCTGGCAGATTATTTTTACAGTCCTAGATTTGGCATACAAAACTTCACAGGTATTCGCGTATTGCCCCACATGGGTCACGCTCCTGTAGTTGTATATTTAGTGTACATACCCTTCCCATCTCAAATTCTCGACAGGCCATTACGATTATCTAAAAAGAAAAAAAAAACCATGCTTGAAGTTAAGTGGTTTTAAATCAAGTAAACACACCAACATGTTACTCCTTGCTTCTGTCTGGGCAAATACTGATACTCCTTTAATCTGTTAATACTGAAGAGACTAATTAATAGTATTTCCCTATCTGCACATGTATGCACTTTTAGTTCTACAATAGTCCTCCAGTTCTATCCTGCACAAAATAATCTACAATACTAATATAACATTTTAAGGCTACTTAAACTGAATTCATTGTAATCCTGTACAAATATTTATTTATTCAGTCTGACTGTAAAGTTGAAATATAATCATAAAAATATAAAGCCATTTAGTGACTGGAAGAAACAGCTATATGTGCTTAAAATTACATAGGCTGCCTCAAGTAAGTAATGAAACCATTTAAAAACCAAGAATCAGATTTCTTAGGTGAAGCTCTTTCAGATATATCAATGTGAATAGATATCTAATACAATTCCATCAACAGGCAAGCTGCTACAATAAACCATGATTTAAGTGTCTGAAATAATGTGTTCAACATACCAAATTTTACCAGGACTTAGAAGTTATCTCCCAACAATAGCTGTTTAAACAGATATAGAATATATAAACCAGCAACTAACCAAAATTAGCAGAAATAGAACTGTAAGCTTTTTTTTTCCCCTTTTTAATTTTTTTTTTTTTTCCACATGCTGCTTCTATGTCTGGCTTTCAGTCCACACTGTCAAGAGTTGTAAGCTCTCCTACAGGACAGATGTAACACCAACCTATTCATAAATATGCATGATTTCATATTCATTCAACAAAATTACTTTTAATTTACATTAAATTCAATAAATAATATTAATAATATATAGAATGCTATTTAAACTACAAACCCCTAGATCTGAAAAGTAAGTAGACTAAATCACTGTCAACATTTTTGGTAATAGTAGCCAGTTCAGGCAAAAGATACATAATCACTGTGCCATGAAATCAGGTAATACCCCATTCTGGTTTTTACTTAGGTACTTACAGCAACATTGTATTCCCATATCATCCTCCAGAAGTCTATTACTGTATTTGCTAATGGTCCTTGGGTGGCAACATATGCTTTTGGCCCATGGACTCCCTAGGATTGCACAAAGGAACCGTTGAAGTTTAAAAAGAAAATTTATCTGTACTGAATAAAAAAAGCTTTAGCTTATAATCATGTAAATTCTTTTTTAATACAACAAGAAGCATGAATATGAAATACAAGTTCATTTACATAGGTGGGAATTTTGCTGGTGATTTCAAGGGGGTCCAAGGTTGTAACAGCTAGTGTGCTGCCAGAGACTGTAACAGAAAATACTAAGTTTCTCTATGTTCACATTCTGAGAATTCCCTTTAATTTCACATTTTCTTTGTTATTCAAACATCTAATGATGAAAATCTTTCGGCTAAAAAGCATCCCCTTGCAGAAAGTTCCCCTCTGCCAGTAATACCTCATTTAAAAAAAAAAAAAAATTAAAAATGCGGTTTATGTAAAGCTTGAAGACATTTACATTCAGCTTTTCAAGCTAAACATTCAGGAAGTTAAATCTACAGTAACACCTGTTTCTGCATAAGCATTACTATATAGAAGAAGCATCAAAATAAGGCTACAAGGAAAGCCCAAGATATTCACACTTTGAAACAAAAGGGTATCAGGCTCTTAGCCAAATTCTGGCTTCTCTTTAAGAACATTAGATACAATTCCATCGCCACACTTCTGCCACGAACAGCAAAGTGTAGATTAACATACACAATTTGTCAAACACCTATTTTTATGATCCCTAAAACCAACTTTGCTTAACAGTTAGTGTTAAAAAGACCAGATTTTAAAACAATCATATCTGAATTTTCCTATAGGATAAAGTTCCAATTTGGTTGCACTTTACTTTAAAATTAAGTATTTTATTATATTTATACTTAATTAAAAAAGAGTTTTAATATTACTCTATAACTGGCACAATGTTTGCAAATTTATTCAAGCTATAATAGAAGGAAAATCTTCCCTCACAGCTTTAAATTCTTATCTCAGACTAAAATATTAAAACTGCACTGATGATAAATAAAAGCTTTAAAACAATTTAAGAACTATTAAGAGAGTAATACATACCTTAATAAAGTTTGCATTGATGTAGTCAGAATCTTGTGGAGGAGTTTTTAAGGTCAGTTTAACCCGGCTATGATCAACTAAAAGAAGAAGGTTACTGCCATTCAAAGGCTGGCTCTCTCCTTTTTTTTTTTTTTTTTTTTTTTAAAAGGAATTACATTACTTGTAAATCCACACGTAACAGTAAGTATAATATATATATGCTACAGTTTATAGAAGAGATTAAGCCTTAATGTTACCCAAAGATAAGTCACACAAGCATGTCAGTTTGTTCATTTAATTTATGGATAAACCAGCTCAGGTAAGGATAAAGAGCTTCTGCTATGTGCTTCTGATGCTTGAGTTCAGAGTACCAGCTACTGGAATTCCAAGATCAATTCATTACAAAGAGGCAAAATTCAATGGATCACAAGTATCATAGAATCATAGGATCATAGGGGTTGGAAGGGACCTCGAAAGATCATCTAGTCCAACCCCCCTGCCAGAGCAGGGTCACCTAGAGTACATCACACAGGAAGGCGTCCAGGCGGGTTTTGAATGACTCCAGTGAAGGAGACTCCACAACCTCTCTGGGCAGCCTGTTCCAGTGCTCCGTCACCCTCACAGGAAAAAAAATTTTCCTGATATTCACCTTGAACCTCCTATGCTCCAATTTGCACCCATTACCCCTTGTCCTATCACAGGTCATCACTGAAAAAAGCTTAATCCCATCTTCCTGACACTCACCCTTTACATACTTGTAAACATTGATGAGATCACCCCTCAGTCTCCTTTTCTCCAGGCTAAAGAGACCCAGCTCCCTCAGCCTTTCCTCATAAGGGAGATGCTCCACTCCCCTAATCATCTTTGTGGCCCTACGCTGGACTCTCTCCAGCAGCTCCCTGTCCTTCTTGAACTGAGGGGCCCAGAACTGGTTGTTACACAATATTAACAGAGATCACAGTGGTCATAATTAAAGGCACACTTACAGAGCAGAAAAAATAAGCCACCAGCACATGGTTAAAGAGGATGGCAGGTCTTGAAGTCTCTGCCAAGGAGGACTCCAAGTATGACAACATGAAGCATGCACTGGGGTTTACTGCTCAAACTGACTACTACCCCCCAGATGCTGAGGCAGGCAATTTGCTGGGGTACTTCTCAACTAGAAGTAGTTGATTCCTTCCTTTAGGGCATTCTGACATTTCAAGTTTTTACCTCAAGCATCAATGACTTTCAGAGAAAGCTTCTTAGAAAAACAGCAGATCTTGGGATATCAAAACCCTCAGCAATATTAAAAATAGCCTTTACTACTTGTTGACAGAATAAACTAAGCATCTTGAAAATCTTTTTGGCATTGAAAATATCCTAAGTGCATCTGCAATACAGAAACAACTTGATGATTCTTAGTAAGAAGGAGGGTAAGTGATTGGCAGGTTCATCAGTCCTTGCCGCTCTTGTTGATACCAACAATTCCTAGCTATCACAAAAATAATTCAAAATCTACAACAGAAGCTGTTTCGGTTGGATATCCATTTTTTTTTTTTTTAAATACATCTCTGAACTGGGGAACAGAAGTGTCTGCAGAAGCAGCATCTGCTCAAGCAATTTCTGTTACTTTCTGCTCCCAGGGTCAATTACTCAACCACAGAACAGCTGCTAAAGCTTTTATTAGAGCTAAATTCAAGGGGGGGCAGGGGGGGTGGAATCCATAAAGGACAAGTCTATTTAAGAGGAAATATGGTTGATTGGTTTGTATTTTTATTTTTTTCCAAATATCACTGTTAATAAAACAGGGAACTATGGCCACAAGATGTACATGCCAAGAGTTATTTCTATACATAAAGTTCTGCCAAAAGCTTCCAAGACAGTGAAATTTTCTGTCGAGTCCTGATAACATGCAAAAAAATTCGAATTACCATGTAATGCCTCCTTAAAAAGCACAAGTGTAGATTACAAGACATTTGGATTTCAGTCGTAAAGACAACACCCTCTCATAAAGGCCTAAAGAAACCTTTAACATATCACTGTATTACACTCACACATACAGTGTAAAAGCAAGAACACTTTATAAGCATGCAATCATGTCACAGATGTAATAAAAAGTACTTTTAAAAGGTGGATCAGACCAATTAAAATGGTAGTCTACTGAAGACTCCTATCTTCCCAGCACAGTAGATCCAAAATTGTAGAAGCAGTTTCCAGCCTGCCTGCATCTGCCACAGCTCTTTCATAGATTTAGGTCAGGAACAGAATTCTCCAAGAAGAATTCCATTGCAGGTTCCAGCTTCAGCAGATGATGAACTAACACCAAGTTTCATTTAACTATCACTTAGGATGGCTTCCTAAACTAATGTGAACATGCACACATGCATACTCCGAAGCCAGCACTGAGTTAGTATTGAGGCACTGATCTATCTGGTAGCAGTAGCAATTTCTGATAAATACAACGCTAAGCTTCAATTAAGTTACGTTTGCATGTTATTTTCTGGATTTATAAAAGGTAGGCAAATTATCATTCCCCTTTCTCCTCCAAAACATCTCCCGGTTTTCATTTATCGGGCTGGCCTCCCATTGCTTCATTGCTAAAGCTCTTGGATGTTTGAAGATGTTCTTGCTTTAACGGAAAATATACCTTCAATTTTCCTCAGCACCAGCTTTGATGTTCGCTCCCTTTCCTTGGCGCTATTCCAATGACTCCAGTTCTATACAGATGAAAGAAAAGCATATCTACCACCCTACTTACAGCCATTCACTACTGTAGGAGTTGCCAAGTGTCTCCAACTCAGCTTAGGTGCTACCAAGATTTTGCTACCTTTTTTGTCATCTAGCAAAACGCCAGCACAGAAGAAAGAGTAAAACAACTTCTAATAATAAGATGACAATAACTTCCCCTCTCTTTTTCACTCCAACCCTTCAACTTACTTCCTCTCAGGTAAAAAAAGAAAAAAAACCAAAACAAAACAACAAAACAAAACAAAACACCAAACGCACACAAATGAAACCTCCAATGATATTTAACTATTTTGCTGCAGTTGAGCTTAGTACCACACTCCTACATGTGACATGTTATACATATATTCTCCAGCAAAATCTAAACAGACGTGCCTTCCCTCTCAGTGCAGCAGCAAGCACTATGCCCACCTTGTTAAACAACACAGAGCCTGTGGCTTCAGGGCTGTTTACTGCTCAAAGTGTTGCTCTGATTGCTGACAAACAATAAAAACTCCAGCACTAGAAAACCAGAGCAAACGGGTGTACAACAATCTGAAACACAGTAAGCCACTGGAGCTCATTACTAGAACACATTTTGGAAATGAAAGCTAATGAGGCTTAAGACCATTTTCAACTTCCAGTTGGTTATAAACCTCCTAACACTTCTGAGAAAGCTAAGCAAAGTAAAATGCACCTGCTGCTCATCTTATAGGATGTGAAAAGGGGCATTTGTCAGAAGGCTATCCTTTAATCTCACTGATGGTTGTTCATATTGAGAAGCACACCAAAAGCTTCTGAAATATATGGCCTCACAAGCTGTGCAAATTGAGCTCGTAACAGGCAATCCCTTCATCACAGATCACTGATCAGTTATACCCACACATCAGTGGGTTTAAAATTTAAATTCCCCTCCAACTCCTCTTTTCTGTGTTCACACATTGAACAGAATTTCATTTGTGCTCTAGCGAAACACAAACCCAAGATAATCCAGCACTGAAAGTTTTCAAACACCATTTGCATCTAGAATCATTAAGGCTGGAAGAGACCTCTAAGATCAAGTCCAACCATCAGCCCCAAACTACCATGACAACTAAACCAATGTCCCAAAGTACATCTACATGTTTTTTTTAACACCACCAGGGATGGTGACTCTACTACCTCCCTGGGCAGCCTGTTCCAATGCCTCACCACTCTCAGGAAAGAAATTCTTCCTAATATCCAGTCTAAACCTAGAGTTTATGCTGCCATTTATTCGTTTTCTACCATGAATGATAAGTTCTTAAGGAAAAAAATTTAAGCACTTAAAGTTACAGACTATTCCAAGCTAAAATGAAAGCATCACCTTGATTTGGCTTGGGACCAAGCACATGTTTTATCTTTGGGTGATAGCTCTCCTAACAAGGTATACAAATGTTTGCTTACTTTGCCTTCCAAATAAAAATAGAAAAAATTATGAAAGTTAGCTTTCAGCAAATTATCTCCAATTTTGCCTCTCTGTAATAACTAAATAGTAAAATTCATGAATAACAAGAACTTTCCTTTTTCTTATAGCAAAATGTAAATCAGACTTACATGGCAATATATCCTTGTATCTATTCTTTTTAACATTTTCTTCTTTTTCTCCAGTGGCTGTTGGGTAGATCTTCTCTGTTCTGTATTTTGTTGATAATCTTCTTAACCTCTGAAATAAAACATTTGTTATACTTTCAAGTCTCAAGATAACAGAAACACCACAAGGTATTAGCTTCATTAATGAAGAAGACCACGTAAAAATTTTCTTCTCTCCTTTTACAATATTTACTATGATTAAGTTAAAAAAAAACTCATCAAATTCTCCCGTCCTTCTAGGTCAGCAGCTCAACAACCAAGTTGAAGCCAGCTCTGTCTGTCATGACACATGAAACATTGGAAAGGCCACTACAGCACCAGTATGGAAAACAGCTGTATTTTATTTAGGAAATACACTGCAACGTTAGGGCAAAACAACTGCATTAAGAATACCTGTGAGAAACAAAAATCTGTTGTTGCTCAGAATACCTGTAGGAAGAGCACAGTGCAGGCTGGCTCAGAACAGCCGTTAGCAGCTGGTCCTTTGCTCTGAAGCACACAGCGTCCAATACTGACAACTAAACAAAACCCAAAATCTCTATTTCAACAACCATCCAACTCCTAACGCCCAACTTCTGTTGAGTTTCAAGCTCACCTACAAAAACAAGGTCCCTGTCTCTCAGGTATAAGTTACTTGCAGTTAAGATGAGTGACAGGAGGTCAGCTGTATTAACAACGTCATTTTCTCCCCCTCCATCTTCTTTAAATCATCAACATTTCAAGCAGTCAAAACCTCTAACAATGAAATCCAGTCCATGCAATTGTGCAGACATCCAGATTTAAAAAGGAACCTGAAGAACTCAGGAAGTCAACTCTGGCTTCCAGCAAATCTAGGTGGATACAAAACCACCCGTTCTATTAATACGGATGTGGTGGTATATACGATGATCAAGAGAATTCTTTTTTAAGAAAAATGATTGGCAACTTAAGTCCCCCAATAATTCTTCCAGCAAAAAAGGAAAAGAAAAAAAAACAACCCACAAATTTAGCATTTCAGTTACATACTGAAAAACACTTTCTTAAAGTTTATCTGGATGTAATGAAAAAGCAGCCAATTTTATATACAAATGTGGACAAGGCTTTGCATTAATTTAGTTGAATAATATGCATCTAAACAGAGTAAAAGCAACAGCAAGCTAAAATAAAAAAGGCAAACGAAGGAGTACCAGTTTTCAGGCAATTTTTTTTCTCTTCTCCAAGAACTTTATCACAGATTAAACCACTGAATCTTAAAAAGAGCAACAGAACTAGTGCATAGGGTTTGGTGTTTGTTTTTTTCTTGAAATACATTGCTCTTGAAAAGGTTGCAGGGTTAGTCAGTGAATTAAAACCAGTAAATACTTGGATGTGAGACAATAAGTCTCTGAACACACAGTGATGTAAGTGGTAAATATATTATCTGAAAATATTACAGTGAAGAACAGGAAGATTGAATTCTTGAAAAGACATGGAAAGGGTTAAGAAAAAGCTTCCATGCGGAGTACACTCTGAATAACACTAGAAACAAATTCACAGCACAACCTGTATACATGGCAGTGTTTGTAACACCATACAGACAAAGCATACCAGTGCACAGGGGAGACACATTGTCCCAGGTTAACACTGCCCTTACCTGTGTCAAAATAACAAATACTGCCTGTACTAAGATTAGACGCAACCAGGAGTATGGAAATAGCAAAATAAACACACATAATTTAGCTATAATCAGTTAAAAATTACAAGACTGAGAAAGTTCTAAATAGGGTATAAGCCCCCAGCTCAGGGGGCTTATAAAAAAAGACTTTAAAAAAAAAGCCCTTTAAAAAAAAAAGAGGGGCAAAGAGAAACAAAGATACTTTCCAAGCACAGCCACTAATATGCTCCTGTATCTTATTCCATACCCCAACCTGGTTTGGAGTTTTGTGTTTCTTTCTGTTTGGTTGGTTGGTTTTGTGTTTGGTTTTGTTTTTCTTCTTACTAATTTTAATGAGATCAATGCCATGACTCTCCTTAGAAAAAGTAACAAAGTTAAGAGGAAAAAAAAAAAAAAAAAAATCACCTCTAAAAACCAGGAGCAGAAGTAGAAATTATTTTGCATGAGAAAGGATACACTTGAGGAAACAAAACAGGGAAGAGGTAAGGTATTAAAAGGCACCCTAGGAAAATTATCCTTTTTGCCTTAGCCCATTTTAAAGGCATGCAAGAACAATTTTCACAGATATAGTTTGAATCTATCATAAGCCAAAAAGGCTGGGGTGACTAGTACCAACTTTCACTTTCTAGAAAGGGAGGCTACCAGAACTCTGTGCAACCTTCTCTTGTGTGACTCAACAGCCATACAACCTGCTGAACAAACTGGAAAGCAGGATTAGCACAGCCCAGCTCTGAGGCAAAAACTGGAAATGAAATACAGGTTGACTTAGCTCACATCTGTTCCTGTAGTACTTTGGGATCCACACTTTCAATGCATGTTTGTCAGCTGTTCTGTGACACGGGCAATAGAAGATAAGCAAGTACAGTCCTGAGAGCCATCAAAAAGAGTAAGTAGTACTCATGATTTATAGTAGTCTCTGTTACATAGAGTAGTATCTACTTCATGCTTTGGAAGGGAAAGAATTGACTCAACAGTTAAGGGAAGAATTTAAAAACTGAGCTTTTAACAGGCTGCCACGGGAATGGAAGAGTGCCAGACCCAGCGGAGGACTTTGCCTTCCACACAACAGAACGTTTCTGCAGAAAGCCACTGCAACGTGCACGCACAGCCTGCAGTGGGGTGCAAGAGGCTCAGTGCTTCCTAGGTTACAGCCCAGAGTGACCAGAAGAAGAATGTACTCAATAGCAGTACATAGGGTAATGATAGGGCAGGAGAAGAAAGAATTTCATTCAGACTACAGTAAGTTGCTGACAAGGTAGCCAGTAAGATCCGTCACAGTCCTGTTTCATGCTAATTCATACAGACAACTATCTACGGCACAAAGCAGCAGTCATCTGAGTTAAGTCAGTAAACTGCCAAATCACTGTCCAGAAGATACTCAAAGGCCAACACTAGGGACATTAGAGATCCAGCCAGCCTGAATGCCTCTGCAGATAACAGTGGGTGCTTCTGTGACACTCGCATATCCACTAGAACTGCTATCCTGGTACCACAAAAATCTCCATTTATATGAACTTTTCAGAACAAAATGGTCAAAGCGTAGGTGTACATCCATGATTCAACAGACTTGAAGTACTATATTCACAAGGCCTTAAGTTCTACTCATTAGAAAAGCTTGAGTTTAATTCTGCTTATTCACTGCATGACAGAAGTGGTTTGTGGGATGGTGACAAAACACCACATGTCGGGGGGAGTTAAGCCTTTGAAATAATTTGAGTTTCAGAAACATACTTCCAACTTCCACAGTGGTTTTACAGTCTGTACTACAGATCTACTTCAGTGTTTTCACAAAAGGACAAATCAGCTTCTCAAACCAAACTTGTGGACTCCTACCATATTGGAACTTAGTCCAATCAGTTCAGGAAACGGATCTCCTCACAGTCAAATAAATAGATTAACACTTTAGAAAGCCTGTAAAGACACATTGCTTAATACCGTGGAAATATTGTTTGTGGATTAAAGAAAACATTTACACTGCCTATTGCGATTTGAAGAACTCACTTTAAAAGCCTGAACATTTTCCAAGATACAAGAGTTCTTTTGATTCCTTTCTGGGTTTCTTCATAAAGCAAAGTGTGACAAATATTTCACCAGGGCTTCATTTATTTCAAATCTTCAAACTGTCTCTTAAGCCTTATCCAGCATTTCCAATGGTCAAAACATCAGCTGGCAAAACTGATGTTTGCTTGAATCTCCTTTTTGACTGTAGCTGAGAAGCAGTACATAACAGTGTCAAAAGTCAGCTGCTAGAATGCTCCACAGCACCCATGGTTCATCTGCTATGTCACAAGAGGCAACAGCAACAGGATTAGCTTGGATGCTCTACATGGCCAGCTATGGCAGCAGAATCAAGAGATCAATCACACAAGAACATACTTAGCTTTGTAAAATTTGCTAGTGCTCTGAGAAATACTCAAAGAACTGAAAATTAACAAAAAACTTCCATGGAGGCTTCCTTAAAAATCAAGGCATAAAAGATACTAGGAAATACTTTTAAAATATTGTACTAATGCACCAGTTTCATGAAACGAAATAGCTCTTCTTTCATAAGCTTGACATTGCACTATTCTCACTGGCAGCAGGGGAAGAAAACCACATGAATTATGTTCAGCTGTGCTCTCAGGCTAGTAATTTAGATAAACATTACTAGTCCATAACAGATTTCCTAGTACTTTTACACAGTCAGAAAAAAAACGTACCTGTAAGGAGCAATGTGAACCAAACTACCAAAAAATGTCAAACTAACTACATTCTGTTTATCTATGGTCCAATTGCACAGGTTCCAGATTCTATACCAATACCATGAACACAAATGCCAGACTCCTTTGTCAAAAAACAGCTCAGGTGAAGACTCCAATAGAGCTCCAACTTTCTAAAACTGCTTTGAGTCCAGTATTTTACCTTACAGTGCCTGCAAATCCAACCAGAGTTTCCCCATACCACTTTATCACTGAGGGCTCTGGGAAACAACAAAATCCACAGATGCTAATAAACTCAGCTGGAGGACTGACTGTTGTGAGTCAGGGGTGCCTCTGCAGCTCCAAGTTGCCACAGCAAGGAGTAAATGGGCACAGTGAGCTGGGTTTCCTCCAGTCACTCTGCCAGAAGAGCTGCCTGGGGAAGGCAGGGCACAGTGCAGCTTAGCCCAAGGTTTCTGGGGACATCAGGTCCACTGGGGCTGAGTCAGTACTGAACCGTCCCATGTGAGATATCACTTGTTATCTCATTTCCCTGTTAAGGGGCACAAATAACATGGAGTCTCATGTAATTTCAGGTATCACAATTGCATTTAAGTCCCTCAATTATCTGTCATTTACATTCATATATTGAAATGCTTTGCATCTGTTGTTGCAATTAAACACAGCATGAAAACACCAACACACAATATAATGTCCAAAGAGTCTAAGCTGATAGTTAAAATTAGTTACCATACTAATAGC